AGCTAGGTGAAGCGTTACTAATACGCAGTCTAGTTTATTTTAATATCCAGCAATAAGGTGAATAAACAACAAGTGAATTGAATTATGAGACAAATTAATTGAATTGAATGCTATAAAAAAGACTTTTAACTTAATAATGTTCACCTGACAGGCATACCCAACATTCAGAATGAAAAAATATTAGATATTTTCTGACAACTGTAGATAAATGAGTCCCTTACTTAGAGTAAGGGTTGTTATTATAAGATATTTTCTACCTATATTTCAGCTTTAATTTTTCGTCTGAGAGCTGTTTTCGTCAGCCATGGTCTACTAATAGCATTAGCTTACTGGGAAGAGGACTATTTTTTATACTACTCTATTGATGAATTGTAGCTAATATCCTAACATGAATTCTCAATCAGCATGTAATATGTACCCTATGATGGATAGATAGTTGATAAATAGATAATAGGTGATCAATAGGTGATAGAAACAGAGAGATAGAAGAGATAAATAGATAGATAGATCCATTTTTTTTCTTCTAACATGAAACATTGGAGAAAAACCAATGTTATTTAGGATTTGCTATAGCTAAACTTTGCTTTAAAATTGGACAAATCCGGAAACATCATTAGCAAAGACGACATTAACAATAATTATAATAACTAATACTTATCCACACCTTGGATTTTGCCTGGCACTGTGACAAATATTTTTTATACATTATCCCACTTAGTCTTTTCCAGAAACCTCATTGCTGTGCATATGATGAGCTTCAGTAGAAACAGATTGAGAATTTGCGCTGGGTAGCTGGTAGGAGGCACAGCAGAGGAAACAAGACTTCTTCATCCCAACATCTCTCCTTACTTTGAACATCCAGGAATCCAAGAGGACCTTGGAGACATCTATCCAGCCTCCTTGGCTGTTTGCCCCAGCCTCATCTCCGCTGCCCCCACATGCCCACCCTGCAGCAGACACACACAATTAGTGCAGGTGAAGTGAACTTCTTTGAGAAGAAGAACATTTAGTTCCTGGTATTGTTCAGGCATGAGACAGAACAGTTATTTTTAAACTCCTTTTTTATTTTTTACAGTCAGACTTTAGAACGGCAGATTTGGTAACTGAAGTTTATTTGAGTGTAGCCACTAGAGTGGTGCACAAATAACTTATGATCTACGGATTGTAAGTACTGTAGATCCAAGTAAACATGACTCATCTGTTCTCATCCCGTGCTGACTCACAGCACCATCATCTTTGAAAAGCAGCAGCGTGCTGGCTCATTTGGTTCTGTACCCTTCTAAGTTTAAAAAGTTCCAGCTAGAGTAGCAAGGGGTGTGTGTGTGTGTGTGTGTGTGTATGTGTGTGTGTGTGTGTGTATGTGTGTGTGTGTGTGTGGTGTATTTACACAAAGATATAAAATAATATCTATTCTTGAATACTTGGGATGCGCTTTCTGTCCTAAGAAATTTGTAACTATTAACTGGGGTAGGTTATATCATATTTGTTTTATGATGTAGACGTTACTGTTATTACCATCATGTCACAGAGAAGGAAAAGACCTTGAATAACTCACCAAGGCCAGTGTACTAACAAGTGACAGAAAGGGTCTTAGTACAGGTTGTCAGCTCAGGAGTCTGGGCTCTGATCTGCTATAGCAGCTGCCTCTACCTGTACCCTTCTGCCAGCGCACGGCCGATGCGACATACGAAAAGATGACTTTCGGGTTGTTCCTTTGAGACACCGTCTGGCTGTGTAGTCCGGGATAGCCTCAAACTGCCCGTCTTCCTGCCTCAGCTTTCTGAGTGCTGTGATGACCGGCATGCACAACCATGTCTGGCTCAAAGAAGCAATTTGGAAAGGAGCAGGCACAGAGTGCTGGGGTTGCAGTTCTGATTCTGTTCTCCCCCCCCGCCCCCCGTGGGTCTCTTGTGGGATTCGTGCATCCTGCTTGGCAGATCACTTTGGCGGTGTTCAGAGGGGAAATGCCAACTGCTGCCCCCCAGCTCTGAGATCCTCTTCAGGATTTACATTGTTTGGGATGGCCCAGGACTGTGCCATTGTTCAACCTCCTTGTTCAACCTTCTTCCTTCCTTCTCTCCAGTTTGTATGGAGCCTTCAGGCTCCTTCTCCACCAACCTAGACAGCCAGTCCTGAGTCATGCATTGCCTCAGTAAAACTAACCTGAGCCTTCATAGTAGCTCTGAGGATGATGACTTGAAGCCAGCCCGGACAGACAAATCCTCCAGACTCTTATCTCCAGTTACCCAGCAAAAGTCAGAACTGGAGGTATATCGCAAAGGGTGGAGCACCAGCTGTGAGTGAAAAACCTGGGCAAAAATACACGGCCTTGAGTTCAAGCTGTAGTACTGGCACACACACACACACACACACACACACACACACACACACACACACACACACACACACACACACACACACACACACACACAAGTTGAGATAATTAGTGTTGCTAATTGTCCAAATGTGGCCACTGGTAAAGTCAGCACCTGGTCAAAAATGACTATGGAGGAAGAATTCAGAGACTGTACCACATTGTGAAGGACCCAGGGTTAAGAAGCTTATAGACAGAAGTTTCCTTTAAAGGCAACAACCCATTATCTGTCACAAAATGTAGGAGGATCACATAGAGATTAAATCACTTCTGATTTGTGGTTGGAATTCTCCATGCTCTGAGTCCTAGGGAACTATCCCAATTCCCATCTCTGTGACATATTTCAGAAGTGTCATCTAATTTTGTCCTTAGAGCTGCATTTAGGCAAAACCTGATTTGTTGTTGTTGTTTACTTATGCAGGAAATAAACAATCTGGGAATTGGGACTTTAAAACCTCTATTTTCTGAACTATGACTTTGTAAATATACATTTCTTTCCAGATCAGGAGTCCATAGGGGACTAAGATCAGCAGGGGACAAAAATAATTCACGAGTTCATGAGCTGGACTAACAGGAAGGCTCAGAGCTGTGTGTGTGTTAAACTAATAGTATGGCTGGCAAGATGGCATGTCAGATGCTTCATTCATTTTAGACACCGACCCATCTCAGTACATCATTTATACAATTTTAAATGTATTACTCAGGTATACCAACAGAAGAGGCAGCATGTGAATGTGACAGACATATCCATATGCTCCCATCCGTCCTGTTCCATTTCATCCTTACGTCCTCTCCCAAAGATGTGCTGATGAGCTTCCCTTTATGAGTTGATCTGTATTTTAGTTGTGTCCATGCAGTCTTAATGAGGCTATCACTCTGATTTGAGTCTTCCTTATACATAGGACTCAGCCCCAGAGCCAACTTGTGCTCGCAGACAAAACAAAAGGAATCACCTTTTGCCAATAACACCGGCTCCCCATCGTCAGCTGAGCCATCCATGCAAGCATGCACTGGAGGCATGCACAGGAGGCCATTGAATTTAGGTAGCATGACAATTCCATGTGAAACATGTGGATGATCGTGTGCTGTAGGTTAGCGTATTTAAGGCTGAATGCTTTGCTCTGTGAATTCTATCCTGTTCTCTTCTCTCCTCTAACTCCTCCCTGTTTAACAGCAGACAAGCCCAGGGAGCGCTGAGTGAATCCGATGATCCGGAAACAGGCTGTCTAACTGATAACAAGCCAACTTCTCGACACTTCTACCCTGTCGCCTTGCTGCTTGTCAGCTCACACCTGCTAGTTGTGTGGCTTATTTTAAGTCTCGCATTACTATTAGCCAAATACCAATAAGTTTTATGTTGTATTCTTTTTTTTTTTTTTTTACAAATGACAATGGACTTTAAATTATGGGAGACAATGCTGTACTATTTCTACATTTTCAGATTCACTGAATTTAAACAAAAAAAATGTTGGCTTTGTGTTTTTGTTTGTTTTCCTAAACTCTACAGAACAAAAAGTACTATGCATATGTCAGTTCCTCTGCCCTTTTGTTCCTGGTAACACATTTTCCCCACTGTTCACTAGGTCAAGAAGAATTTCCCAATGATTGTCTTTGAAATAAGACAAAGAACAGAATCCTGAAAGCTTGAAGTTCTGAACCTCCTCTTCCTCTTACCATTCAATTTATTAAAAGGAATTGAGATTAAATTTGCACAACTGGACTAAAACCCTGAGCTATGCCCCCAGGATGAGGGAGGTTCCAGACTTTTCTTTCCACTGTGCTTATAACATACTTACCATCATAGATAGAAACTTCCCTTTGGTCTTTGAACCTGTTGTCTGATTTCTTTGCTGCACTTAATTAACCCTTTTCTGTCACATACATCTATGGAGAGAATGGCTATTTATGTTTTGTAATTAAATTATCCTGTTTGTAACTATTGTTTGGGTTGATTTGGCTTTCAGAGTACTTTTCTATTCTTTCTAACAAGGTCTCCTTGTGTCTCGATGCGCCATTTTTAGCACCTGTGACTTTTGTACTGTTGGGGACAAGAACTCTTCCTTCACAAAGATGAGACTTGGACCAGGTTCCTGAGAAAGCCATGTTCTCTTTGTTGCACAGCTAAAATATTGAAGTAAAAAAAAAAAATAGAGATGAAACTTTCCTTTAAAAAAATCTATAGGGCCAGATTTAATCAATTTAATGCCTTATTATTCCTAGAAACTGCATCCTTAGGGCTACATATAGATTTTAATGTGTTTTAAAGAGACTGACAAATTAATTTGTGGAAAAGATATACAAAGGCAGATATATTTATGAAACTCAAGTGAAACTGTATTGTGGAGTAAATTATATTTAGAGCGTTTATGAAACCTGACATGTCTGTTAAGAATATAAAGAGGCGTTAGTTACCTCTTTGCGAAGGCAATAAAGAAAGGTATTGGGCCTGGCCTGGGATTTACTTTTGTAAGATGTATCATCACTTGTGGAAAACAAACACACAAACAAATGTAGAGTTGACTCTCTGTTATTTTTACTGGGACTGTTGCTGCAACTCTGCATTGAACAAATAAAGCATATTTCTGTATCCCGTGTTTCATGAGCTTGTGCTTCCCCCTCCCACCAGAGAAGGATGCCGCATAGAGAATGTACTGAAGAATATCAAATGCAGGAAGTATGCTTTCAACATGCTGCAGCTGATGGCTTTCCCCAAGTACTACCGACCTCCGGAAGGGACTTACGGAAAAGCTGACACCTAAGTTTACCATCATGTAAATAAACAGAAACACAAATACGTTTTGGTTGGAAAAATCTCTCTATGATGGTTTTTTTCTTTTCCTTTTTTTTTTAAGGAAGGGGAAGCGTTTACCCAAATTGAGGAATTACCCCAATCATGCCTGGCATAGGCCTCTCCACGCCTCGTGTAACATTGTCGTTTCTGTTTCCCAGCCCCTTTGTGCTGAAGCTCACTGGTTGGAAGGAGAGAGGGTAAACTTCACTTGTGGAGGATTTGAGTGAAAAGTGTTCTGGGCCCACCCAGCTGGCCAGTATGATTCAGGGAGTGAGAGGGAAAATGGGAACAAGAATTTATGGGTTGCTTCTTGATATCAGATCACTTTAGAGCCTGTTGGGGGCCTGTATGAAGTCTCTTCCTGGTAAACCTACGCTAGGAGACTGTAACTCGTGTTCTTGACAGCTTGCAGCTGTCTGTGTTCTGTCCAGCTGTGGCGCTCCTGTAAGTGACGAGAGAGAACACACTTCAGCACTAGTTTGGTGTTGTCAAAACTCGGACTTGGGTTGTGTGAGTTTGAGGTAACGTGACAACACAGACTATTTAACGATACAACCGGCACAACGCTGCAGGGCTGTGAGAGTTGGGGAATCTCTTGATGACTCCCCATCAGCTCAAACTTTACACCGTGAACTTCAGGAGATCTTTCAGATGTTTCCTCATGGTCACCTCGATGTGAATTTGCAATCCACCGCCACATAGGTTAGTATGGATAAATATACTTGTAAGATCTATGCAGCTACCGTGACCAAGGAGCACACATTTCTGTCTAGCTGAATTTCAGCTTCTTTAAAATAACACCACTGATAAAATTTCCCAAGTGCCAAATTAGTCGTTGCCTTAGAGATCATCCTACAGAGAACTAGTATTCACACATTGGTAAACTAAGACCAGAGGCCTGGTTGGAATATTGCAGACTCTCCATTACAATCCCTCCTTTGTTTTATTTTATTTTTTTTTACCTTCCTAACTTATGACTCATCTCTTTTCCACATTGCTATGCTAACTACGCATGCCAATTCAGAAAGAAGAGTTGACAACAAAATTAGGATTTATCAAGTGGAATTGAAATTTAGAGAATAAAATCTGAATAAATGAAACCTGTATTTTTCCAGATGTATGTGGGTTTTCTGTTTCTCATGATTGGAGTATGCCACTCAGAAAAATAAATCTTGTTCTTCATCTTTTGGAAATACCAGGGCTTATTAATATATTTTTTAGGTGAAACCACATCCAATGCATAGTTAATATGAGCGCTATGTCAGTGATGCCTGTTAAAATAAGAATTTCAAACAGATCATTAGCTCCATGTTGAGTTGTTCAAATCGCTCACAACTTTGGATAATACTGAGCCTTCCCACGTTAGAATTATCATTTTGTCTAATGACCTGTGGGTATTGCTGTAACAATTGCCAAACTGTTTATAGCTCTTTAATTGAAAATGTTCTGTATATGCTGGATGTTCAATGAAAAAAATATTGTAGGCTTCTCTGATAAGATTCATTCTCCATTTAAGTAGAATCTTTGAATTGCTTTGTTTCCAAATGGAAGAGTCTGTGGTTATTTTCACTATCCCATTGAATTTAAGGTAGAGTGGTAGGGATGACAGAGATCTTCTAGAATAGCTATAAAATTTGTTGAGAATATCAAATGATGGTCTGAATCCCAGGGGATGTTATTTGATTTACCAGTGTTTAAAGATTTAAACAGTAAAAAAATAAAAAACCTCATGTCAAATTTTGAAAAAAAATGAGGAAGCCAACTATTGGGTTTTAGGTAACATTTTATGATTTCCTTCTCTTTAAAATAAATACCAATGTGGAAGTCTTGAAGAATGGACCTTACTGTAATAAACATTCATGTGAGTTTTTATTCAGTATTAGCATAATCTTCACCATTACCTAATAGACAAGGGTACATGTTTACCTACTTCTGAAAGTGGATCATTAGGAAAATCCACCATTGATTAGTGTCACTTTATCAACTAAAAGTGAAATTTAGAGTAGAAAAAAAGTATACTTGGACAAGCACTTCATTATGTGTTATTATCAAAACTTTCTGAACCAAATGTGAAACAACAACAGAAAGAAATTAAAAACAAACCTCTTAAGTCTCCCATGCTTTCCTCCCCACACCTTCATTTACAAGGTCAATCAGCAGACTTATTGGAGATCACAGTAAGCCAAAAATGAACCAGGAAAGTGACATTTTCAAGCACCATAGATTTGGGCTAAAGACTATGTTTTCCTTCCACTGTCATCAATACAGTATCAAGTCCAAATTGATGATTTGCAGAGTTCCAGGAGGGGGAAAAATGTATTTAGAGACACAAAAAGGTACAACCACCATTATGAATGACACAGAATGAAAAGGTCCAAAATGTAGAAATGTCTCCCCTGTCTGGTGAAGAGATGTTTTAAATGTTGGCAGAGACAGACCCATACTTAGCTTCACCCGTTCATTAATTTCTCCTGTGTCTTTTTGTTCTTTTAAAATATTGCCTCGAGTTCTCACTACACACTGCCAGTGCATCCTCTAGATGTTATGGTGAGTCTTATCATCTATGGAGTCACAGTAACCAAGCGGTCAATTATTTTTAAATGGTCCACTCATCAGTGGGAGCCATTCATAAGACTAACACCACTTCTGAAGAACCTGGAAACTCTGAAGGCTAGCACTGGAGAGAGGGTACTTCTCTATTTTTACATTTACTCTGGTGTTGTTCAGAAAATATAAGACGTTAGAAGAGGGGAGAAAAAGTCCTGTGATGTGTATAGAATAATGGTTTGCTTCCAAAGTAAATCAAATCTTTCTCTGTGTAGGAGTTGAGGCTCTGCCAAGAGACATGATCATGCTGGTATGTTGGAACTGGGTTTTGTTTTGTACTTGAGCGTTGATTGTGAAATTTTCAAGCATTCTGTCCTCTTGTTGCTAAACATAATCATGATTAACACAAAATTATGAAACATAATTGGATAGATTTTATTAAGAAAAAACATATAATCAAAGCTTGCTTACTGCTTCCTAACTCTTCCACTGAATTTTGCTATTTATGCTTTGAGCGGAGTGAGGCTCGGTGTGAAGCTTATATAATATGACACTCTTGTGAAGCTCTTTCTCACTTTTCATTTAGGATCACCCTGAATACCCTGAAAGTAGCCACTGTGGGAATATTTACAACAGAAACTGTCAAATAGTAAACTAGGGCATTCGGCCCTGGAAATCGGGTTGTTAATCATATATTGGCGCACCTTATTTTTCTCTGCTGGATACAACAAAGAATCAGAAGCAAGATGAAATTATTAAAATGGCATTAAATAAGATAAGTCATTTTCAGATAGCTGTAATTTTACTGCGAGTTTTATCCTCTGTAAACACTCCAACTAGTCTGTAAGGCATGACTTGTAATTATAATTAAGCTATTAGATTGTAGGGGTGCATTAAAAAACCCACCACTGATGTGCTTCCACAGCATGAAGCCCTAGTGTGAGCAAGGACTCGGGGGTAGACAAGGGAAATCAATAACGTGCTTACCATATTGATTTTTAAGCTTATAATTTTGACATTTGCTGAAAGTATGCAAACAGTAACATTGCTATGCCCAGACTCTAATAAATATAGCTCAATCAAAACCCAAACTGTTGTATTAAATGAATTAAACTCTGGCAGTGTAGTAAAGCGTGACAGATGTTGTAGGTGGTTGAGTTCCAAGCAGGGTGGTACATTGTTTTACATCAACATATACAGTCCACATTTTGCAATCTGTGAAGGAATAAATTATCTTTTATTACAAATTTAAGAAATTGGTCTGAGAAAACTCTCTTCAGCAGTTAGGGAAGGAAGCAAAAGCACCTGGCATGGCTGGAAGCCTTACCAATTGTGTACTATTGGAAAGAATAATTTGCTAAGAACTGAGTAGCTGATTGACCATTTTAGCATAAATTCACATTTATTTGGCCCAGCTGCCATCTTTTGGAGCTGTGTTCCTCCACCCTTAAACTGTTTCTCAGCTTTGGGCAGAAAATGCCAATATATTGTATCTCTTGTATCTCTTTTTTCTCTGGCAGTTTGAAATTAGACCTTCACACACAAAGATACTACCTATAACAAAAACTGACCTTTATAAAGCTAGGGAAATAAAACTGCTGTTTTAGATAAAATATGACAAGCCAATTAAGTATGAAATTAAGGAATAAAAAATTGCTTTTCTTTCTTTCTAAGAAATGGTGCATGTTAATCATGCTGAATTTAATTTCTGAGCAAGTAAGAAAAAGTCTTTAGACACTTTTGATTTTAAAGAAATAAATGAAGTCTAGCTATTTGTAACAAAGTAAAATGAAAAAATTATAGAATAATATTAAGCCCCAAGTGGCCCATGCAATCATGCCTGAGCTTTTTTTAACCTTTATTTTTAATTCAAGCATAGAATTTTACATTTGAAAGGACAAACATTCACAAGTGCAGTACACTGAAAAGTGAATATCAAAACAAAGAAGGCCTGAGATCAATGATGTATCCTAAGAAACCAGACATGATATTACTGAAAACATCTAAACTTCACAGGTGAGAAATGGATACAACCATTAGCATATCTTCCAAGATGACCTGCTGTGGTAGTGGTCATTGGGAGACATTAGTGACTCCAATCTTACCAAAATTATGTATATACATATACAGTGATGTTTCTATACCATTATCAAGATTATAAACCATTTCCTGTTGTAAAGAGCTTTCCTACTTCCAAAAGGCAGAGTGCAGATATCTGTAGACCTTGCAGATTGCATGTGCCATACATGCAATCCGTATGACTTCTTACATATTGAACCTAATACTGCGTTCTCAGGCTCTTGAGGTACTCGTTTGAAAGTTGACATTTGTTTTCTTTTAATGTTAAATAAATACTTTAATTAGACCAATAATGTGTATACCTAGGAAATGAGCCCAAATAGATTAGATCATTTTATACTGACATTTAAAAACTACCATTTGTGTTGTATTGTTCTGTGTAAACCATATTAATTGTACCATTGTACATGTGTGTATTTTTTTAATAAACCTGATTTTATTTTTTACGTTTCTAACTTGTTTTCACTATTGTACATTACTTTCCATTTTCATTAAGTGTCACAGTGTGTAAATAATAATTAAAAGTTCAAGGGGTAGCATTTGTAATGGGATGAGAATGGAATGATATTGGGCTGGATCAAAATTATAGGACAAATTTTCCACTTAGATTAGTCTCATTTCACCAACAGAATGGGCTTTTTAGGGCTGTTTTTCTATGGAGGCAAGCTCAACCTAGACCCTTATTTAAGATTCAGACATTTCCTGACAGTGTAAATCATCCAACTCTGTCTACTTCATTACATACAGTCATTCCAATACATCCTCATGGACTTTTTGGATTTGATCATTGATGATTTATCATAGCAGTTAACAGTAGAAGATCAACTTCATTGTTTTAATTAGACCTTGTTGCAAGAGAGTTAACCAGAAGAGACCCCTGTGTAAATGTAGAGAATGAACTTTTGCCGTCTGGAGTGCTTTAAGAGCATCATTGATCCAGCGACAAGCCAACAATTCTCGATGTAACGTCAGCATCCTCCGTGTGTGCTGATTCTAATGGGTATTTCTGTCTGAACTGGAAGCAGGCTAGAGGAGTCCTCACTCAAAATGAAAATACAATAGGCACTCAGATACTTGCTCTGGAGCTGAACTTTTTATTGTACCGGAGAACAGATTCATCAGGCTGGGTCTATGCCATTGGAGTTAGTCCAAGAACATGATTTCATGGCTCTATACCATTGGTCCATCTAAAACAAGCATTGAATTTTCCATTCTCTCGCTGATTTTGAGCTCAGGCTTACATCTTTTAATAAACTGGAAGCCATACGAAGAGAGGATGGGTCAAGGCACACATGGGGAGAATACCAGGGATGTGCTGCGAACTAGTCCAAAGCTATTCTCTGTTGCTTAATGCATGTGTAGCTTCTGGGTGAGAATTAACTACATATGGGCAGTGGCACTAGTAACCTAACTTGATTGGCATCAGTCTCTATTCCGCAAACAAGGGATCATAAACTAACACCTCCATTGGCATCACTCTCACTTTTGACCCGGTGCAGTTACTCAATGTGTCTGCCTTCACAGTGTTATCTGAAACGTGAGGACAATAGTAGGACATATCCTTTCTTCCCACTATTCTCCAAATTGCTGCTGAAGGCAAATCCAGATGCTGTTTATTTTAAGCCATCTTCCCATATTATCCTGAATGGTGTCAGTCTCCTCAGTATCTACTTCTTCTGTAATACACCCTGTTCCTTCATATACCCATTCCTTCATTTCTGCATTTGATACTGTGTTTAGTTAGCAGGTACCTTTGAATGTCTGTGTAGCTGGCACTGAGCTACACTCAGAGTGTTTAGTGGTGGACAAGAGTTATCATTCTACTCAGGGACCAGTTCAGTGAGTAATGCAGAGGAAGAGGAAGCCAACTATTGTCCAGAAATAACTCGTTATCATGAATGGTATCAAGCCATGATGAAGAATTTTGGCAGAGAATGATGATGTTGGTTGGGTTCTTTGTTTTAGCAAAGGTGGAAGGAGTCGATCTTAATAAGGAGATAAATTCTCCACTGAGCTGTGCTCAAGGGAGGGTCACACACAGGGGAAGGGTGTGTGTGACTCCAGTGCATGGGCCTGTAGTACCAGGCGGGGGAGGTGGAGATGATTGGCCTTCACAAAACGATTTCTGACTGTGAAGAGGAATTTGGAATTTATTCACGTGCAATATGGAGCAAGTACAATTTTCCAGGCAAAGGACTGAAGTCAGATCATTCTAAGTGCACGGCGAATGGATGACGGAATCAGAGTTGAAACCAGTGAGGCGGGTGGAAAGATACAGTGGAAGTGGAAGCCAGCACGGGCCCGGCCAGGGGTTAGGAGGTAAGAGTGCCTAGTAGGAAGGTTCCTGTAACATTAAGGGCGTGAAAACAAGAAATCAAGGGAAGCTTTAGCTTTCGAGCCTGCGTAGCCGAAAGGGTCAGCGGTGACACCCGGGGTGGGGGTGGGGGCGGTACAGAAGCGTAAAGCAACATTAGGCTTGCGAGACAAAACTGTTATTTGGCTTTAAACATGGTGGATCTGGACGATTCTGAGTTGTGCAAGTAGCAAGTCAGGTTTATTAAAAATATTCATGAGTCCCAAGTTTGCGATAGAGTCAAAGTGAAAATGTAGTAGTGACTGTGCCATCTTCCTATGCCGTATGAAGACACAAAAAGTACTCAAAATAGTCTGTAGTTGACTTAAAATGTCAAATGAAGAAACCACTCCACACTGAAAGGCAATTTCCTCTTCTTTTTGGAGGGATTATTGGGGTTTAAACTCAGTACCTTCAACTTTCTAGGTAGGTGCTTTACTGATGAGCCATTCTTCGGTCCTCCCCCTTTAAAAAAAATTTGTTTTTCAGATAAACTCCTAATATGTTGACCTGGCACCAGCCTTGGACCGGAATCCTCTTACCTTGCCTGCTGTAAATCTGAGCTTACAGGCATGAACTACCATGCCAGGGATAAAAGGCAGTGTCTTCACTTGTAACCTGAAAAACAAATGCAGCAACTGAACTTTAGCCACATTAATTGTCTGCTGTTTAAAATGACAAAATTAGTTCCCTCTTTGTCTTTCTGTCTCATATTCTCTCTCTCTCTCTTTGGGAAATGCATTGTATACCAAGAATATAAAGTTGTAGATATTAACATAATTATAGGAATAATGATTGTTAGCATAATAGTACATTTTATACCTTAGGGATGTTTGGTTTTGTCTGTACTCCTGTCTCTCTTTATGTCCCTTTTTTTTTTCCAGAAAGTTCTGCCAGCTTCAAGCTTACATGGTAGTTCATGTCTCACAAAGAAAATGGGATTCTCTTTTCTCTCCCAGCATGGACTCTCTAAAATGGATTTTGATGATCAGGAAATCCTAGAGGGAGATCCTGGAGGGCCAGCCGGACACCGCTGTGCAGGCGAAGCGGGTCACCTTGAATGACAGCACAGCTGAAACCATGTTATTGGGAAAGAGCAATCCCCCAGGGGAAAGGACATGGTGGGGCATGGACACCCCACTTCTTCTGGATACTGACAATGAGGCCCTAGCTCCAACATTAAGAAGGCAGATTGTAGAACAAGCAAGCTCAGTTTGGCTGAGGATACTTTAAAGTTGTGTCTTATGTAGAGCTACGTTCTAAATGCATTAGGAAGATGAAAATGAAAAGTCATTTTTGCTGAGACAGAAAGGTAACTAAGGAAACAATTATATTGGTGCATTGAGAGACGAGAGGTCTAATGGTGTCTTGTTTTGCCATCCACCGTGAATGATTCGATTCATTCCTGTTTTTCATTTTCCAATATGTAAGCTGGAGATAAATAGCTCTCCATGTCTGTCCCTTAAAGGCTTTAGGGAACAAAGAGTGAATCCACTTGAATTCAAGGATTTTATAAAAACATGCATTTCCTCTAAAATGCATGATTTTGGGGGTGTTTTGGTTAGTTCTGGGCTTAAATGCCTTTCCTGTTCACAGAAACGGAAGGCACAGCGTGAACAGCCTTTTACCCTCGTTTCATATTTTTAAGTTTGGACTGCCCTCTGCAGTGATATTTATTGTTTCAGATGCCACACCGTACAATGTGCCTTCCTCAGTGAGTTGGTGGCTGAGTGTGGGAAGGGAGATCATCACCATGCGTAGCTCAGCCATTACCTATTTGCTTTCTTGTGATAGTTTCCTACCTTTGCTGATCACGATTCCTTTTACAAAATGGAGTGAGGGAATATGTTCGAAGCCATTCTTCTAGGCCAGTGTCACTCTGCTACCAAATCAGATGTTACACGGAGAAAAAGCATACCACACAGGGTTGGTTGTGTGTTCCTCTAATCCCGTCTATATAAGAAAGGTAAGTAGGAAGTTGATAGTCCAGATATGCCTGATTAAGATGCACATAGCCCTAAAATATAAAAGGCTGGGACATGAGCCAAGTAGTAAAGCATCTCCCTAGCAAGCACAAGGCCCTGCATTCAAACCCTGTATTTGGGGGATGGGTGGGAAAGGAGTAGGAAAGAGGAAGAGGAGGAAGAGAAAGACGAGGAAAAGGAGGAGGAGAAATATGAAGAGAAGGAGGATGGAAGCAAGCAAGAGAAATAATATAATCACCTTTAAATTGTGATGTCAAAAATATAATTTTTTTTGGGGGGGGGGGGTCCGGTTGTGGGGCCTGAACTCTGGGCCTGGGTGCTGTCCCTCAGCTCTTCAGCTCAAAGCTAGTGCTCTTCCACTTGAGCCACAGCACCACTTCCTGCTTTTTTCTTTTTGCTTATGTGGCGCTGAGGAATCGAACCCAGGGCCTCATGCATGCAAGGCAGAAGTGGCACTGTGGCTCAAGTGGTATAGCACTTGCCTTGAGCTGAAGAGCTGAGGGACAGCGCCCAGGCCCAGAGTTCAGGCCCCACGACCGACCAAAAAAAAAAAAAAAGCTCAACTATTTACTTACTTCTCAGTGATTAATTCGGGTGTGAATGGACAATGGACAAGTGTCAGGACATTGACTTGCTGGACAGATCAGAGAATATCTGAGGCTGAGAAACTCATATTAGCCTTAAGCACATTTGTACTGTGAAAGCAAAGGGGAAAGAGGAGCAGGAGCATCATGTATAGCAGCTAAAGCACATTTCAAGTTATAAACTGTCACTAGAGGAAACACAAACTCATTATTTCATGATAAAAGATTCAGTTCATCAAGAACAAATAATAATTGTAAAGAAACACATTCATGGTATAGCCTGTGAATTCACTTGGAGCCTCTAAATGTAGAAAGCAAGTATTAATGGATATGAATAAATGAATGAATAAGTAGCAATGTGATAATACTCAGGAAATTTTAATACCATGCTCTGCAAAAAAGGGAAAGATCAACCAGGTAGAAGATTGAGATGGAAATGATAGAATTGAACGATACCTCAGACAAATGGATATAACATGAATTTACATAACCCTCCACCCAACGTAAGCTGGAGATATAATCTT